ACATGGTGAAAAAAATGAATGCACGTACTTACGTGTCATTGTTAGTCAAATAATAACAACTTATCTTGTTTTAAATAAGAAGTTATGTTCTTCTTATTGAAGAAGAAGAAACTAAAGCACATTTCTCAAAATAGAGCACATGTCTGTGTGTGTATGTCGCTATGAATAAGACGGAATTTTTTATTCCCTCTATCGAAAAAGAAGGAAATAAAGCACTGGTTAGCCTTTTTTCTCGAAAAAAACACATGCTGCTTGAACAAGAAATTCGCACTCGCCCGATAACACTAAAAGAACTAGTGATCAATTTAGGTATTGATGCTAATAATCAAAATCGTTATTGCGTGGTCAATATTTGTTTAAAAAATGGTGGTAAAACAGCACATGCAATCGGAAGTATGAGTATGTTAGTTTCTGCGCATAATTGTGGACGAGAATTTTAATTCTTTTCTATTTTTTTTTTTAATTCTATATTCTATAAAATTTTAATTCTTTTGGAGATGGTATTACAAATATAAACAAAGCACACATTAGAGGACTAAACGAAATGAAATAACCGGCTAAGTACAAATAGCTATGCCATTGTTGTTTGATACAAGCTAGAGGAAATGTCATTATCAGAAGTGGAAAACCTAGGCAAATAAGAATCATCTCACTAATTATAAATGGTTTATAAACTGAAAATTGTCCCTTTAAAACACGTGAATACTTTTAGGTTCCTTATTAAATGCAGGTGTTAATTTTGTTCTAGTTAAATGTGTTAAAAATACACAAATCGAAGTAATATTAATACAAAATGGTGCTACTAAATGAAATATGTTTAAACCGATATTATAGGCTTCTAACCAATAGTTTTCATTGAAGTTTAATACACACCACGAGTGATGTAATGAAAGAGGACCATCGACTAACTGTCGATAAAACGGTATACCTTCCAACGATCTGTAGACTTGATTGATGCGAGTCGAATCTGATCCTTGCGTTAAAGTCCCAGCTATTTTGACTCATCTTGAGAAGCTCATATCGAACATCGCTCCGCTCTAAAACTCACGCGAATGATTTTAAATGAAAGAGCGTTGGAAATACTAAAAAGGTTCTGCTAGAGTCTGATGCTTGACTAGAATCTGAATAAGGATAATCACTGAAAAAATCTTTCTTTTCGCCTTTCTCAAATATTTTTTGCTAGATAATGTTCAGACGAGAAAAATCACTTTTTCTTTCTTATCAATTGTTGAATGTTTATCTGTACTATCAATCACTCATTTCGATCTATGCTCATGAAAATAACCCTTAATAAAGGTTTGCTAGATGTCTGATGCTTGATCGAAAAAATGCTTGAAAATACATTGTGATACCATCAGACTACTACTAGATCATCTAAAGAAAAGAACAAACAGGCTTTGGCCACTCGTTTATTACACTGCATTATTGATAGCCAAAAACATTAAGAATCTTTAAAAGTATTTTATTCTTGAGTGAAACATTAAAGAAACTTTCACAAAATGGGCAACCATATTTTTTGTTTTTCTGTTCTGTTCTTTTCGTTGTATTGCGACAAACATCAACAAAAGTCTATCTTTTGATAAATAAAATGTTTTGATCAAAAGAAGAAGAAAAAGAATTTCTAGGAAGACTTATATTCTGCTTGCGTAATATTATACTACTGTTGAAAACGCGTAAAAAACCAAACAGTCAGTTGTAGTGCCTGCAGCTTTCAGTCAGTTAAAAATGCAGGTGATTAACTCTGACCAATAATAAATGGCACCACTCAATTCAGCTGAACGGTAAAGAAAAATATGAAATATTAACTATTTTATATTCTTTTTTCTGTTCTATTCAAGGTAAGGCATTATGCGTGCTTCATTTCAATTTTTTTTTTATTTTTCTCAACAATTAAAACAGGTAAATTAAACTTTTTAAGTCACGAGCGAATAAAAACATCTATTTTATTTTTTCGCAGATGGGTAAAAGCGCGAGATTTTCACTTTTTTTGTATATAGTTAACACAGAATTTTTTGAAAATAAATAGATTTCGTTAAAGTAGTCTTGCGTAACGGATGCACTCTATTTCGAATATAATAACTTTCTTTATTTAATAGTGAAATATTGTTTTTATTTCAGTAATTCACCACTGCTCAGAATGGCCTCTTCTTCATCATCGCGGTGTGACTGTCAATCAAAAAAGTCATGTAAAAAAGCTGGTATTCTGTCATGTGATGGTTGCAATAATCGATTCTGTCAAGATCACATAGTTGAACATCGACAAGAATTAGAAACCGATTTTCAACGTGTATTAAGTGATCGAGATTCTCTCTACCATCAAATATATTCAAAAATGTCCGTTATTGACTCTCAAGCATTTGATTATATATCAAAATGGGAAAATGAGACTATTGAAACGATAAAAACAATCGCTGATCAGGCTCGACGATATGTGCAAGATCTACTTGATGAGAAGAGACACAAGATAATAAAGAGATATGAGCAATTGTCGATGGAACTTCGACAAAGAAAAGAAAAAGATGATTTTTTCGAACAGGATATTAAAAGATTAAGTGAAAAATTGGAGCAAGTGAAACTTGACTGTCAAGTGAAAGATCTGCCGAATACTGTAAACATCAAAGCTCGAAATGTCGATTTTGATAATGTTTTTCATACAAGGCTGGAAATAGCGTTACAAAGAATTTTGAATGAAAATAATCTTCTAAAAACAATCAATATAAATAATTCTTACGGAAAAGTATTAGCAGCGTCTGAAAACTTTGTAAGTTATCGAGAAAACGATCAATTATGCTTTTTTAATAAAACAAATTTTCACACCACAACAATGTTATGGAAATACATTACTAGCGATATATGTTGGTGTTCGACAATTAAGCAGTTTTTCATATGGACTTATGAAGGAGGATTCACTTTGAGTGAATCATTGCGGAAGGAGAAAAAAATTAATCAACTTCCAGCAGCTGGTTTATTCGGTGCTCATTCTTCCTGCATATGTTATAATAATATAGTTTTGTTATGTGATGGACCCAGTATTGAATTATGGGACATTTCAAGTTGGACAAGCATCAAGCGATGGGAAAATAATGTTGAAAGAAGTGAAGAGATTCTTTCTGTTAGAATTAACGAGAAAGGTATTGTTGGAATGACTATTGGTCCTATAAATTTTGGTGACAACTTATCAAGACGTTTCGAATTGCGCGATTTGTTAACAATGAATATTATGGAATCAGTTGAGATTGATACTCTCAGACATCCTTGTGCTGTTGCTATGCCAAATGATGAATGGTTGATATTGGGTTACGATAAAACGACTATATTATTAATCGATAAAAACTGTAATATAGAAGAGAAAATCGACTATCAGGTGGCATTAAAAAGCGCTTTTGTAACCAATACCAACATTTTGATCATTCGAATAAAAGAACCATACCAGCTTCGTTTCTATCAACTGTAGCTAACATTCATTATATTTATTCACCACCTGTTTTTGAGAAAATTTGTTTTAAAATATAGATTAAGGAGGGGTCCCTGCTTCCAATATGTGGCATCAAACTATATTAGTTTAAAGAGGATACCTGATTACATATATCTCTAAGTTCGCTCGATGAACTGGTAGCTATTCGCAGAGTTATTAATTAATTAAGTTTAAATTTTAATTAAAATTTAAAATCCCAGTCATCATTTTAAAAAAACTCGTAGCTCAGACAAAAATAACCGTAGAAAAGTCATTCATGCATTGCTTGCGAGCCAATGGCCTGTTGTTATGATTTGATGAAAAAGTTTCCTTAAGACAATAATTTATAATTAACCATGCTAATGACAACAAATTAATATTACTCTGGTACCTTACACTTTAATTTACAAATTAAGGATTTATTGGAAATTGTAAAGTAATAGGTCGGTCATTCGACAAAGATTTTCAAGCGCTACAAACTCCTGTATTTGTCTTTTCAAAATGTTATCGATAAGCAGTTATTTGTACTCGGTTTTGGGCAAACGGGGTTTCTACTATGGATTTCTGGAGCGGCCATGGATGTTTTTTGAATAACTCGAGAACGAAAAGAGAGAGAGACTTTGATTTTTCGGCATTTTGACGTAAAACGTTTGTATGATACTTTTCTAAAATGCTTTTCCGACTACTAGTTTCAACTAGCTGCGCACGCTGCCGAAATAGCTAAAGTAAAACCTACCTAAAAGAACAATTTGCGTCTGGGTTTATATTTTTAATCAAACTTGGTTTGGTATGATATTCATTCGGCGTACAATACCAAATGAAGGGATTGTTGGAGCTGCTTTATTGCTTCTTGTACGCAGCAATTGCAGTTCTATTGACTTTTGCATTATCCATTCTTTGGATGGTGGATTAAATGACATTGTTTGGTCAATTACTGTGTCTGTTATGATAAGCAAATCTTCCTTATCTTGATCGTTTTCATCATTTAGTATTTTAGTAGTTCTTGAATTTGAATCATTAGCACCTAACTCTTGTGCTGAAGCTGAGACAAACGATAGTGGCAATAATGGTGGTGGAGCCAGTAAGGTTATTGTAGCTACTGCTGCTTCTGCTAAAGCCCTGCTGACTTTGTCTCTTGAATTGCTGGTAGCAGAATCTTGAGAAGCAGTTATAGTGGCATTTTCTATTGATAATAACTTTTGTGGACTAGATAATGTTCCTGCTTCTCCTGTTGCTGTAGTTTTCGCTATTGCTGCTCCAGTGAATGCTGTTGATTCTGTTATTTGTGTTAGTAGTGGTGTTGCTAAATGTCCTCCTAACTCACTATCGTCTTTCATTAAAATTTTGGCTGCTTTAGCTGATGGTGGACGTTGTTGAAGACGTTTTAATTTGGTTCTAACTATCTCTAAACCCCGAGTGTCTAGTTTCAGAATATAAAACCAGAGGTCGCTAGCTATCGTAGTTAAAAAGCTTTAAGTATCGCGCCCACTCACACCGTTTTTAAAAATGCATAATAGTTATTAATAACAAAGTACCCGAAAAGTACTTTGTTTTCTTGCTCTTTAGATTCTCTTTTTGACTTTATTTTATAATCACTGGAAAATGTTTAATATTGAATATAGTAATGCGTTAAAATACGAGATCTATTATGGTGTCACCGATGTTGACCAAGGTTACTTAAAAATACAATCGACAAAAATAACAACATATGGTGTTGGGTCATGGATGGCTGTAATTCTGTTTTTAGAAATAAACAATGCAGAACACATGGCAGTTTGTCATTGTACTTTAGTTTCAAGATTTAATCATTAAATGAAACAATTAAAAGAAATAAATAATTCATTGAATTTATTACTAGTAGCTTTTATAAACTTTATAAAATAAAGTTATTAGCGATACATGCAATGAATTATTTGTTTCTTTTAACAAAAAATCAGAGGTAAGGTAATCTATTTATTATATCGTTGTATTTAGACAACAGAATGGATCATATCAGAGCTTCTTGAGTTACTGTATCCTTACACCATTTATCTTACTAAATGACATAGTATTTGAATGTTTTAGTCGAAATAAGGTGATGAATTTGCCAATCCACCATTACTACCTATTGGCCATTTTCTA